TATCTTACATCACCTTTTTTGTCAAGCACAGTGTCAATCCCAATTTTATGCATCTTTTCCATGCCCCTCCTTACCTTTCTTCCATTCAAAACTACCTAAAAAACAAACAAAAAGTCATCTAACTTAAATTCTCATTTCACAGCTGTGTCTCTCTTCTGCTCCTACCTGTCTGATCTGTATGAATGGATCACCAGGTAAGTATGGAAATACCAGGATGAAGATTGAGAAGATACATACAAGGGATTCAGAAGCAACACTTGCTCTATATACCCTGATACAATTTACCACAGATGACAGAACCCTGCAATTTTGCATTAAACACTTTATGCTTATCATTTATGAAACAGTCACTGCCTAGATTTTATTCTAACTTTCTTCTTTTTTACATACATATGCATACCAACTGCACAGTCATGAATATTCAGCGATATGCAAGTCTAACAATGCTGATCCAAGTACTGCACTGCAAGAACATAAGGTCCTTTAACTTCTCATTAGAAATACTTATCAGATGAGAATGGTAAAATCTGTCCCAAATGCATAACTAAGTCATAATTAACCCCTGTCCACATCTGTACCAAAAGGAGGACTCTATGTAAAAACTATGTTGTTACAAACTGTATATATTTATGATTCACTGGAGCAAATAAAGCTCTGCATCAATAAAAAGACAAGCCATGTTTTTCACTCCATGTTCTAAATTTTGGCCTTGTATTGTGAAGTGTAACTTACAAATAATTGGATTGAATTATAATCAAGAACTCTCAACTGGGGTAAGGATAAAGAACAGTACTTACTTTACTTGAAATATATGCCTCATTTTTCAGGCTTCTGTTCTATAAAAACCTAAGGTAATGTAATTTTTGACAGCTACTGTCACTGTCTCCCATTTTCCTTCTACTGTGTATTGTGTCCTTTTCCTATGGATTAGTGCCAGCATTCATCTGAACTACTACAGAACCATTTTTGTATACCCAATTGGCTTGTTAKTTAAAATGAGAGGTGTGACTCTCTTCAGTGGTCTACGTGAAAAAGTATGTATTCTAACACGTATCAAAAGGAAAAATGCCCAACCCTATATCTAGAAAAATAACAAACCAAGAAAAATCAATGAAAACTTCAACACAGCATAAGCAGCCTTATTGAAAACACCATATTGAAGCGAGCTTCTGCCTGTCGTCAGTAGCTGCAGCAGCAATACAGTGAGTGAGTCCATTTCCATTTGAAGTCATAAATAATGTACCATTATTTAGGTAGAAAATTCAAATTCACTTTCTGGATGCTCTGAAAAATTGCATTCAGACACTTTTCCTAAAAGATTAACATTTGGGAACGAGGCCTTGCTAGGGAGAAATTTACATTATGGTATTCCAGTGAAAGACTGATTTTAATTGAAAAAATTATCATCTTCTAACTACACACACTGAATCATCTAGATCATTAATGGCGATATTAAACAGGGCTGAACACAGTATTGACTCCTGGGGTACAACAGTAGTTACCAGCTTACACCTAAACTTCACAGCACTGATTGCCACTCCCTTGGTCCATTTGTCCTGCATGTTTTATGCTGACCTCACTATTTGCTCACCCAGSCCATACTTCAGCAGCCTCTCTATGAAGATATCACAGGAGACAGTCTGAAAACCTTACTGACACATGTGTCTACTGCCGTCCCCTTGTCTACCAAACCCGTCACTTCACTGTAGATAATTATTGGATTGGAAGAATGGCTTTCCCTTGGTAAATCTATGCTGACTGCTCYTGATCACTTTCTTTAACGTGTCTTGGARGSGTTTYCAGGATCAGCTGCTCCATCTCCTTCCATCCTTCAGGRGAATTAAGGTAAAGCAGATGAGGCTGTAGTTCCCTAAGTCCTTCCTGCCCTTTTGAAAACAGAAGAAATACTGACTTTCCTCCAGTCTACAGACACCTCTCCCAGTTCCTCAATCTCCCAGTCCTACAATTATTGTGACTGTCCTCACAATGATATCAGCCAGATCCCTTAGCAGTCATGGATGCATACCCAGAGTTTATCTATGTCCTATTTACTTAAGCATTCTCTGACCTAAACCACTTCCATTGAGGGTACATCTTCCCYGCSCCAGACTTTTCCCTCTGTTCTACARTTCCTGAAGGTCTTTGCTAGTAGAAATGGAAGCAAAGGCAGCCTTCAGAACCTCAAGACTTTTCCATATTCCCTGTCCATTCKGCCATGAGATCACATTCTCCCTAGTAACTGCTGCTGCTACTGCTRTATTTGCAGAAGCACTTCTTGTTACCTTTGACATCCCTCACCAGATTCAACTCCAGGCAGAGTGTGACTTTCCTAAGKGCATCCATGCAYGTTCAGACACTGCCTCTATRCTCCTCCCACATTACCTGTTCCTGSTTCTGCATAWTTATTTTCATGTCTGAGTTTCATAATGAGCTCCTTGTTCAACAATGCATTGCTACTGGCATTTTAGCCTGACTTCATAACTGTTGGCACAGACTGCTCCCGAGCTCTGAGGAGGTGATCCTTGAGTATCAACCAGCTGTGCTACATCCCTCCAGAGCCTGACTCTCAGGGATTCTTCCAAGTAGAACCCTGAWGAGGCCAGAGGCTGTTTTCCTGAAATCCAGGGCGATGATCTTATTTTCTTATTCTTAAATCAGGCCCTCAGAGAAAGCAGGTACTAATATAAGTAACCGAYTGCATAAGAAATAGATTACATTAGTTTCTGTCAGAGACCATACATCTTAGAAGAAACAGTGCTAAACTGGCACAAACACAGCAAACTTCTTTACTGAATAAGTTGTTACCTAGTAAGTCTTTAAAAAGCCCTCTCTGCACAAAAAAATCATTAAATACCTAAAAAGTTTAAGAAGTAAGGTATCAAAAATGTAATATATCTTACTCTTCAGTTAGACTGACATTAATACAGAAAGAATTTATTGAAAATATATGAAGAACATTTCTTATTAAATGCAGTGCTAYCTTTTAATACAAAAGTTTATTCACAATTCTTATTATCTTRATTACTATTATTGGAATACACCACGCTTAACAAGCTAATTCATTGAAACTGTATTTACAGCTAAAGCTTATTAGTTAGTGTTAGGTGGACACAATTTGTTTCTCTGTATCTTTGTTTCTGTTTTCACTGAATAAATGCAGAAATTCCAAGTGCAACAACAGCACTGTGGAATTTTTTAAATTTTTGTAAGAGTGGGCTATTATAACCCATAGAGAAATAAAACACATAGATAATAAGGTAAATCTCAAATTGCTGACTAATTTTGTCTACTGCCTACTACTAGTGTTCCTTCAAAAAGCTGTYGATTTCTTCCCTTATTTGTCCCCACCCCCGCCCCGTCTCTCTGAATCTCCACGACATCCCCTCAAAAAAATCAACTGGTAGGYAAGAAAAAGGGTGCAATACATCAGATCCTTGCAAAACCTTCAAAGACAATAGCTTTAAATGTATTCCACTTTCCAATACACTGCCTCCAGCAAAAACTTTACAAGCATCACAGTAATTAGGTGTGAATCACAAAATCCTAGAATCAAGACTGAACGAGACCTTTAAGATCTGTGAGTCCAACCATCAATCCAGCACTAACTCCAAAAACGTATTCTCACCAACACCTAATGCTACAGGCATTAGCAACCAAAGGACGTACTCCAATACTGATGTGAACATCTACTTCTGTACTAATTTCCAGAAGAATTAAAATRTAAGTGTCAAATCCCTCCAAGTACTCCTAATTATGTGCCCTACTAGTTTATTCAATTTCCATCAAAAATCACAATTTTTTAAAAAAGCCCTTTTAATGAGCTAATTTATACATCTTACAGATTGAATTTAACTCCATAACAAGTAATGGAAATTGATGACTTCATGCAGTATGAACAAACATTTAAAAAAAAAATCAGCCATGAATTTTCACTCCCCTTAATAGCTTATTTACTACTCTAATTAAGTACCAGCAATGACACTTTCAGCTGTTTTCCTACTAATCACTTCATTTGATAAACTAGTCATGGTGGGCATCCAAGAACCGAAAAAACCACCCTGCTGCTGAGGAGGAATTRCAGCAGTAAGATGAAAAAGAGTCTGTAGAAACACTGATAAAACACATCTTCAAAAAGAATAAAAGTAGCATTAGTCTTAAAGAGAAAACTTTATCAACAACTTTTGCTGAACTGTATGTCAAAAAAAGCTCTGAARAAGTGTGACAAGAATTCACTAATTTCCAATAAAAGCAAGTGATTAAGTATTTTGGACTCAAATTTTAGTACMAACTTCATAATTTAGTACAAATTCTAGTCATACTTCATCTTTGACCTYAGTCAACAGCTCCCTCACACTGACAGGTGAAAGATCACACAACAAACATACATTGCTGTGGTTTCCAGTATGGACTATGTCACAAGCAGAATTAATCTCTCTGTCAAAACACACTGGCCATTCAGAATAAATCCACATTTGTTTAGTGGTGAACCAATGCTTTGTTACTTACACGCTGCACAAAATTGGATTAACAGAAAGTAGAAGGGTGCCCCTTTGGATTTCTTTGCCACCTGTAATTTGGCAGTCAGAGGAAAGACCCTTGAAGTTTATAAAGTTTTATCTCTCAACTGATATCAAAATTCAGATGATAATACCCCTCTAACAGGATGTGTTTTGCCCTTTTCTCTCCGCAGAGGTCATCACCAGGCTCTAACCTCTCTTACCACACGCCTGGGCCTAGCTGGAAAGCTCCCCGTCTCCGCATGCTGCRGCACCAGGAGGCTGAACGCCAGCGGGACTCAGGGAACGGGAGTGACCGGGGAGTGCAGCAGGCCAAACACAAGTTTTTGTAAGCAGGCCCTCCTAGCCTGACCCAGATGGGCTGCCCCGGCCTGCCGGGCCGCGGGAGATGCCTGGGTGGGTTCCGCCCAAGGCCACGGTCCTTGCAGCAACCCCCGCCCGCCGCAGCCGCTCCGGGCTGTCCCGCACCGCGTCCCGACTGACCTGCGCCGTGCCAGGCCCAGCCCTCCGGACTCCGCCAGTGCGCCGGCCTCAMTCTCGAGCCTCCCAGCGAAGCTCTGCGCAGACGGAGCCCTCTGTGGCGCTCTCCCCTAAGCCGCCCCGGCCCGCGGGCACCGTCCCGCCATTGGGGTCCCRGCGGCGGCTGGCGCTGCCCAGAGCGGCGGCCCCAGGTACGGCAGGGAGCTCCGGCCAGCACCCGGCGCGGCTGCGCAGGAAGCGCTCTGGGAAGCCGGGGTGGCGCGCGGGAAGGCCTCCGTGCCAAAGCGGGCCGAGCTGCTTGACTGACAGCCCGAGCAGCAAATCAGCAGCCCGGGACGGGGCAGATCAGCCAATGGGAGCGGCGGGAGGCGGGGCTGCTCTCGTGCCGGCATCCCGGCTCTGGGTGCCGCTGGGACCCCAATGGCGGTGTCACCGTTCATAATGCAGCCCGAGTCAGGAGCGGCTCCTGCTCCCCCGCTCTGCTCGGGTGACTCCTGGCCTGGGATGGCGTGGTCACCCAGCAACTTAGAGTCGAGGGCAGTCTGGGATGGAGACCGTAGAGACGGGAGACCTGTGGAGTGTTAAGGGGCAGGATTCGCAGGGCTGTGGGAGGAAGAACAAGCAAGATTGGGGAAGGAATATCGGCGACATCCTGAAAGCGCTGCGGGCGGTGTTGCCCCAGCAGTTTCACTGTCTGGCATGTGGTTACTGGCTTGGTTACTCGCATCGGCGTCAGGTTCTCCCTCACGGGCCCAAAGTGTTTTARGTGATTCAAAAGTTATTATTTGTATTGTACACGTTAGGTGACGCGAATTACATTGTGAAATTGGCTTTTCCTGATCTGTAAAGCAAATTAGAACTTCGTATGAACAGGTGGGGAGGAATTGGCAATGTTTATTAAACATGAGAGTTAAAAGATACTCAAATAGTGATTTATTTGTTTCCATACCATAACTATACTTAGTTTTGACATATTCCCGAGCCCAGATTCATTGGTGACATTGAGGGTTATAGTTCCTCAGATATCTTGCTGAGGTTGTCTGTGCTTAGGAGGCTGTGGRGCATTCTATAGGCACATATTGCTGGATTCTGTACTATTTTTTTCTAAGTCACGAGAAATTAGCACTCTGGACTACCTCAGATGCCACAAAACAAAATGGAGGCCTTTATGAATACCAGTGTCCTGAAAGAACAATTTTGTTCAGTGTTTGTATGTAATTTTTCACAATGATAAAGCAAAACAGATGTCTAACTTTGTTAAGAACGAGCAATTCTTCCATTTAGAAGAACTGTTTGAAGTAAATAAGGCTAATTCACATATCTGACTTCACAAAATGGTGATTAGATCTTTTTGTGTGAAAAGTGCATTTTAAGCCAAGTGGTGTAACTGTTTTGAGCTAGAAAAGATTCTTTTGTTTCATTGAAAGACATTGTAGTGGAAAGCTTATGACACCAATAAAGGAAAAACAACCACCCTTAAACTTTTAGACAGACTACTTTGTGCACCAAAGTATTTGGGGTAATTTTTGCTTTGTTTTTAAAACAAAACCATGTAATAATCTATTTCTGCTGAGGAATAGTTAATTGAACCATGAAATTAATTTATTACTATTATTTTATCATTGTATATTTGAATTAGAAACAAAACCACTTCCTTGTGTGGGGCATTGTGGAGATCTTGTCATTTAAGATGTTGTGAAATGAGACCTTGTGTCACATGCACATAGCTGAGAAAGGTGATATGGGACCTACAGCTCCAGAGTTCAGCAATGTGGTGTTTCTTGGTGGGGCTAATATAATAATAATATACAATAATATAACACTGTGTCTGTCTCTGGCAGCCGTGCTTTCCAGGTGAGCCCTTGCCTCTGTTTTGATCTGACACTGCAGAGGCAGCTGACTGTATCTGTCACAGGAGGTCTCTGAACCAAAGTTTGCAGTGCTAAGTTGTCACCTTCCTGTAACAGGAAGTACTGTAGGGCAGTTCTGAAGTCTTACATATAGAGTAAGAGTTTTGACATGCGTTCTGGAAGCTGAGTATGGAAGAATAGTCCATGAGTAACTCTTGATGAAGCCACTTCTTCTTGTTTACTCTGGTTGCTGAAATAAGTAGTAAATAGAGGTACTTCATCTCTGAAGTGTGTCCTCATTTCTGCATTTCTGTACTCATCTGTCACTCATATTTCCTTCTGCTGTTCCTTCTGCTCTGTTCATATGGAGATCATCTGGCCTTCATGCTGCTGAGAAATCCCTCTCTCCTTCCAGGCCTGAATGTGGACAAAAGACAGCAAATTCATTGTCAAACAGGTTGGTTTTACAGACTGGATAACCTTGTCTTTTCCAAAATTGGAAGAGAGCATGCTTGCTTAAACTATACTGTGGTGATGAAAAGGGGATTTTTCAGGTATACTGAAAGAAATTGAGAGCAAAGTAAGATTACCTTTCTCTTTGAAACACTTTAAACACCCTTTCCTCCATACAAGCAGTACTTGAATTGTTGTGGTTTGCTGGGGGTTCAGTAATCAAAACATTATTTGTAGTGTCTTTGTAGTAAGCTGCACCGATTGGAAATTTAGTCGCTGCTGTTAATATGCTTCCTGAAGCAGAAAACTGCAACTAAGGGACTGAAATATGAAGAAACAGAGGGGGATGGAAGAAAAATGAAAAGCTAGAGCATACCTTTGTCCAAGGTTTTCATTTGTGTCTAACCTTCCCTGTCAGTTCTATCCTTCTAATTCTTTCAGGATATGATAGAAGAATGTCCCCTCTGACTATAGAAAAGCACTCTCAAATTTCTGTGCCACTACTTGAAACACGGTGATGCTTTTAATGCAGACATTTTCCATGGCCTTAACTGCTTACAGTTCTGTACCAAAACCAAAGTAGGCACTGTGAATACCTAGCAAGTACTGTTCATAAACATTTTTATAATGTTTGACCTTAAGAATGACCTGAAGATTAATGGATATGTTGTATCAGTTTTAATGGGTCTCTTCTCCCTTGGATACACACATGTGACTCCCATTAGTCTTAATGGGAGTTATATGTGTGCCTAGAGGTTAGACAAGATCTCTAAAGGTGCTGTTATGCTCTCTTGTATTAACGATCTCATAATTGCTGAGGTGCTGCACCTTTGCATTGAAAGCAAACTAATTAAATTGGTCTAGTATAAGTTGGTATACTAGCATACCTGGCACGTATGTGTGTTTTTTCCTGTGGGTCCCTCGGTACACAGAGGCAGAAGCCAAATCGAATGTGGAATTTAAATTTTACGTGTGACTTGACTTACTTTGTAATTGTTCTTTATAATCCAAAATGATTTMATGAGTTTGATTCCTAAGAAATGATTGTTCATGTGAATACAGAGGAAGAAGCTGAATGTGGTGTTTTATTTTATCATTAAAGCGTGTATTGACAAAAGGGACTGAATTGATTCTTATTTTGATGTTCCAAATCATGCACTTTGAAAAAAGACAGTTAGGTCTAGAGGATTAACATGAATCTTGATGTTGAATTTTAATTATGGCTTTGTTACTCATTTCTTCCAAGAGCCTTTAGACAAAGCACTTCACCTTTCTTTGATTTCCAGGTATGTAAAATATCTGCTTGCTTCTTAGTGTTGCAGACATAAATTATTATCTCTTCTGTGCTTTGAAATTTTAAGATTGGTATGCCTAACTGTGTTCTACTAGCATAATCATGACAGTACAGAAGGAGGAAAAAAATCACAGTACCTACCTCATACAGTCAGGCAGAAGCTCTGGGGATGATGCAGATCTGTCAAGAGAAGTGATTCTGTTCCATAGTTTATGATGTATAAAACAGGGTATTGGTGATGAAAAATCTTTGGTATTAACTATCTATCTATCTATCTATCTATCTATCTATCTATCTATCTATCTATCTATCTATCTATCTATCTATCTATCTATCTATCTATCTACCTGTCTATCTTTTGGGCCAGTTTTTATGGTGAAAGAGATTGTACGGTAGGCAATTGACATTGTATAGACATTTGACATTTTTATCAATCAAAATAATGATTAGAATTTGATAGTCAGTGTGGAAATTTGTGCACTGTTCTCCATGACTGTATACATTTAAAAATCAACCATGATGTAGTCTTCTTTGAAAATATAAATTTGGGGAAGAAATGAATCTTCATATTTACATGCTGGAGAAGAAGCATTTATGCGGTAACCTACGCATTCAAACTTGGTTTATTTTCTTGGTTTATTTTCTTGGTTTTTTTAAGTTATGGGCTGAGTTTGAAAACTACTGTTGAATAGTTCTGTACATAATTTAGTTCTGAGTCTGATATACTGAGGGTTACTGTAGCCAGCTCTTTTACCTTTAGTTCTGTAAAATGGTAGCTGGGCTGGTAAGCTAAAACATTTAGCTCAACTAAGCACATTGCATTTTGTGCCTTAACTAAGAGTTGTACGCTTTAGTGTTCTGAAAACAGATTGTTTAGTCATTGGCAGCCTCGATTTTTGACTGTAGGTGTTCCTGAAAACAGTGCAACTGGAGAACARATTTCTGATACAATCTCAGAAGCAATTCATCTGAACTTGCCCCAAGTGGAAAAGTGAATGGTGATATCATCTCAATAGCAATTTGTTTGAACTTGCCCCAGGGCTCTTGAGGATTTTAGAACCTTGTCATTAGGTAGTATTCCATGCAGTGGTTGTGAATGCCAAGTATATTAAAAGTTACTGATTATGCCTATGGAAAAGTCTGGTACATTGCATATGCCCAAAAAATTTTTAGGATGCTATTAAATCACTCTAGATAAATTTTTCCTGTATTAAATTAGAAAGAAAAAAATCAAGACATGCAACTCAACAACCTGTTGTTGCTGTTTGGTAACCTTTCGGTATGTTTTATTATCTTACTTTCATACTTGAAAGATGGCAGAAATGGGATGATTAAGTTCATTAGTGGTCTATGGAAAGATTGATTTGAGATGCTTTCTCAGKCTTATGTTGAACCCAGGTTTGAGAATTAGTAACTTAGTAGAAAAATGGCAGATGTCAKGGTGTGCATGGGAGTAGGTTAAAAAGGGCCAGAGCTTGTCTTATTACTTTGTATTTTTTTTCCAATAAAATTTAAATTTCACTGTGCTTTTTGTTTGTGTTCACTTTAACTGTGGGACAAGAAACAGAGTCCAACTCTGCATTCTTTTGTGAGTGAATAATGTGTCCCATTCAGTTCTTTCGCAGCAAGTGTAACAGAAAAATGCTGAAGGA